ATATATAAGCTGAGTTGGAGGTGGAAGAAGAAGAGCGCCTTAAGAAAAGAATGTGCATATCAACCATTCACTGTTTGGATTCATCTCACCCCTTTAGCCCTAAGCCGCGTCGGCCATGGCGGTTCTTTGGCCATACTTCACCACGCTGCCGTGTGCAGGTTGATGAGCTTCAGGTGTGGATGACACGTGACCGTTTTGGATATCTTGTACCACTGATGTTAGCTGCGGCGGGGAATGTAAATCGTATTTGAGGGTTCATAGCGCTAACAACAGCACCACCTCTCTCCGTCCATCCGGATACAATCGACACGCGCCTTAACATCTATCACCAACCATTGCGTACACACAAAGACAAAGATCCCGCTCATAGCCTTAATAGATATTGGGGCAAGTGCTGTTAGCGAGCACATATGAAGGCCGGCATCGCACACGAAATGGTGGGTGGCCAACCCCACGCCCGGCCGCCTTTGTCTCCCTAGTAGGCGATGTTTACACTCCGCACCAGGTACTATTTTATTGGCTGAGTAGACCTAGGGGGACTCAGCCAGATAATCGTCACCGGTGTTGGCCGCGAGCGGGAATCGAACTCGGGTCGCCGGGTTCGTAGCACAGCGCGCTACCCACTACACCACCGCTCCCACGTAACGGTGGGTGCACACAACACACGCGACACGCAGCACACACGCACGTCTACTAGGACTGCTTTACACATTAAGGGGATTACGAATTCCCTTAATAATAAGCAAACACCCCTCTAGTCCGACCCACGTGTGCTCTCGTCTGGGAGGTTGTTTTTTTATGTTATCCTACTTCTGTGCACCTGGAGCCGCCACCGCAGCGATCGCCGCCTTTACCTGACTCAGCCCCCCCCCAGCCCCCCCCCCCCCCCCCGTGAACTCTTCACCCCTAAGCCCCATGCTCATGATCTCATGATTGGCAGCTCCCGTGATTCCGTTTTTTTTTTATTAAAGTCGCGAGGCACCGCGGTTTCCGCTCAGCAATGCGACAGCAGATGTAGCCATCGTTAACTTCCCGCGCACGCACGAACGCACCCCACCATGATCATCTACCGATGTTCAATCCACTGCTGGATGGAGGCCTCCCCAAGATGAGAACTTCAAGCGTACCCCATCATCATTTTAAGAATAATCACCAATCAACGGCAGTCGTGATCAATGTATTGCTGGATGGAGGCCTCCATTCGCTGCTAACTTCACGCATACACCTCAATCATGATCATCAATCAACAGCAGCCGTGATCAATACACTGCTGGATGAAGGCCTCCCCAATCTGTAATTGCACTCGCACACACTATAACTGATCAGTCGCAGAGGTCATGGTGATCTCCTCCCAAAAGCCGCCGTCATATTCCACGATCCTGGGATGTAATAATAATTCCACTGAATGCCTGCAATTGAGCTGAATTAATCGCTCCATCTCCCCGGTGGTGCGTATTCTCCGACGTGTTCACACACGGAGCGGGGGGTGTTGGTCCGTGTGTGGGGTGCGAACGCTTGTTTGCCGTGTGTATTTCACATTTCACCACATATACAGGATCGCCCAAAAGCCAGGACACGTTGGAGTCATTTCATTTATTTTAACACCGGCATTAAAACATTTTAATTGTGTATTCTTAAAGTTAATATTTTGTATCTATTCTCATTATAAACTTCTTCCCGTGGGGGTCCCCCTCCAATCCGTCGTTTACAAAACTCGACCAAGAAAGCCTGCGAATGAATTGAGTCAACAAGACACAGTTGATGATGAATGTTCAAATATTACACCTGTAATTATTTTTTTTGAAGTAATAGATTCATTTCAAAAGAAAATCCATGCACGACGCATGAATGTTAATGGAAGCCAGTCTGAAAATGTGTTCAGATAAACTTAATAACCCGACGTGATTTGTTAAAATAAATATAACAGTCCTATGTGCCCTGACTTTTTAGGCCACCCTGTACGCACTGTCGACATGGAATGCTGGACTAAGTGCCCGGTTCGTACCCCCGGCACCTCCACTCTGCATCAACACTACCAACCTACACAGCCTCGACATGTGGTTTATTGGAACAAGTTGTGTTAGCGAGCACCTATTAAGGCCGTCGCGGCGTACGATGGGGTGATGTAGCCAGAGCCACGCCTGGCCGCCTTTGTCTCCTCGCAGCGTCTACATGTACTCATGGAAAGCTGAGTCTAACTCTAGAAGGCCGGAGGTTCAAAGACTCATCACTGATCATCACCACGGCCAGGTATCGAACTCGGGGTGGCCGGGTTCGTAGCGCATCGCGCTAACCACTACGCCACCGCTCCCCAATTGACAAACGCGTACATACGCACATAGACTATACATATACACCAAACATATACAAGGACAGACACTCTCTATACATCTAAATATGTACACACACATATACTGTACACCATACACACGTGCCTATACTACCCGCATGCCGCACAGCCTACACATTGCGTAAACAAAAACATTACACGCAAAAACACATCGAGTGCACATGAATACACTGCGCAACTCCACAAAATATACGAACACATACAGACGCCACATATATACACATACAGACATTGTATACATACAATATACACCATATATAAAAACATACGTACGTACACACTCCACACACAGACACATTGCGTGTACAAGCGCGCTCACACACACACACGCACACATCCACACGCGGGTACGCACCATGTGGCCACGAAGCAGGGCCATCGCCCGAAACGTCGCCTATTACATATTTTAAGGCCACACGCAGCGTTACTGACGAATGTGTTAAAGTTTAGTTTGTGAACTGTGCCTAGAGCACCATTGCCAACGCAGCACCACCAAACAATTATATCCTGTACGCATACGTCGATAAACGTGAGCATGCAACAATATATATACACACACACATATAGGACTACACACACACGGATACACACAATATGTATGTGTGTGTGTGTTTAAACGATAGTGTCGCGGTTAGCGCGCTGCGCTATGAACCCGGCGACCCGAGTTCGATTCCCGCTCACGGCCAACACCAGTGACGATTATCTGAACCGGTCCCGGGCCTCCCCTAGGTCGACTCAGCCTAAAATGAGTACCTAATGCGATGTGTAAACATCGCCTCTAGGGAGACAAAGGCGGCCGGGCGTGGTGTTGGCCACCCACCTCCTCGTGTGCCGTGCCGGCCTTCATAGGTGCTCGCTAACAGCACTTGCCCCTACAGTCGGTTAAGGCTACACGGGGGATCTTTGTCTTTTGTTTATGCCTACACAAGTGGAGCGGTGGCGCAGTGGTTTGCGCACTGCGCTATGAGCCTTGCCACGGCACCAACCCGCGCTGATCATTGTGGTGAAGCATGGCCAAAATAAACCCCTACACCACATCCAGCACGACCAGTGAGAGTGATTTCCTTCATTCGGCAGTGGATTTACATAAATGTGTAAAATCTTCTTGGTTCTTTCGATAAAGTCACGTAGAATGGAAATAATAAAATAAAAAAAATAAAACATAATAAACTAAAATAATATTTTATTATGTTTAAAATAATAATAAAAATAAAACATAATAAATAAAATAAAATTTTATTTTGGTTTTATTTTTATAATTTTATTATTTCCATTCTACGTGACTTTACCGAAAGAACCAAGAAGATGATTCCCTGCAGTTACGAAAGCTTTAAATCGAGGTGTAGAAAAATTTGTTATTTAAACATCTGCAAACTTTCCTCCATATAATAACGTATACAACGTACTGTATCTGTAGTTCTATAAGGTATACTGCACTTTTGCACATGTTCTGTACTACATAGACATGTATATGTGTACCGTATACGTATGTATATTACGACGTGCAATGCATGTGAGCGTGTGTGCTTCAAGATGTGCAAACATCGCCACTGGGGAGACAAAGGCTGCCGGGTCAGGTGCTGGCCACCAACCCCCTCGTGTACTCTGCCGGCCTTTCATAGGTCCTCGCTAACAGCATCTGCCCCAACATTATGTTGAGACTATACGGTGGAGAGGGAGGGGGGGCATCTTTGTAAGATATCAGAACGTAATGTTCACTTAGTGAGCAATGCAATGCCATTAATATTCAAAAACCTGCAGAGGCAGTGGGTAAATTATGGCAATTGATAAAGATTCGGCAGGTCGAAACATTGCGTAATGTTTGTTTTTTAAGTTTAAACACGCAGACAACACAATTTGCCCTGTGGGATATTTACATCGACAAAGATACAATAAATCATTTTATTTCAATGAATAAAAACCACAAAAAGAAAAAAAACACGACGTGTACGTATATAGACACCATTTTTCACTGATCACATATTCACCAAAACCAATGCGTTAGCCACAGGGCACGGCTGTTGTGATGTAAGTCTGCCTACATTATATTATCTCTTATTCCCCCCCCCGGCGCGTTTGTCTATTCATTAAATGCCATCGAGATATACATTATAATATGTACAGTATTTTTTTCAATTATATTATATGAGGCGTACAGAAGAGAACGCACGCGCTTGCGTCAAGAAAAAAAATATATAAAACAAAAACGAAATTATAAACACAGAACGCACCAGTTTTTCATGACATAAATTATAGCAATACATTCATGTGTATGACGGGTTCTGCATGGAATGCAGCTATATTATGCATCTGATATTATACCTGAGCTCGCAACTTGGACACAAACGGCAAGAAATATACATACATATGCTACTTAACGCAAGTCTCTGTAAACAATGCATGGACATCCGAAGGAGTGCGCGCACTTTTATTAGTAATCAAATTTTTGTTTTTTTGTTCGACAATTTTAATTACACACCATACACAAACCACAGCAAAACGAAAAGTATGCTTTTATCTCAAACCTCAGCCAATTACCGATTAATATTTTATCGTGTTTTCTTCGACTTGGATCAACATCCTACCCTGACACGGTCCCTCCCGCCCCTCCCCTTCCTCGCCCCACCCCAAACGAACACCCACACACCACACCCCTAAGCGAGACAACACCAATATACAACATCGATTAATGTTTCCGATTATTGGCTATAACAATGTACGGGATACAACATTAAACTGTCCGCCAAAATAAAAACGAGCCTTGGGTGCGTGCGTGCGTGTGTGCGTTGCGCTCCGGGCCCATCGTTCGACGGCCAGCCTCACGCAGCCCTCGCTCGCACCGTTGCTAGTGCCGTCCCTTCCTTGTGAGGGGCGAGACAGGGAAGTTAGTCGTTCGGGACGGGAGACACACGGGTCGAGAAGTGTACAACGGTAACGCCCGGTTAGGAATGCCCCTTCTTGTGATTGACGCTCGCGTCGCTCTTGCCGTTGCGCGAGTACGGCTCGAAAGCCGACGTCCCGTGGAGGGGCCGCACAGCCAACTCGAGCGGAAGGCCCACGTGGATGGGCAGCGACGGCATGGACAGAGGGAACACGGGCCCTCCGGGAAGGCCGGGGCAACCCGGGGCGGTGAGGAAGGCCGGCGGGCCTGGCCGTGGGCCGTGTCCAGTCCCGTGCGCAGATGGGGGTCCCGTGGGCTGCAGCAGACGGCCCTGCTCTAAGAGACGCAGCACGCTGCACGTGGCCGCGGACTCCGAGCTGGGAGAGCGGCCCTCGGCGCTGTCCTTGGTCTGGTCTTTCTTGTGCTTCGTGCGCCGATTCTGGAACCACACTTTCACCTGAGGCGTGGCAGGGAGGAGAGGAGATGGAAAGAGGGAGATGCAGAGAGATGAGTGGGAGATTGTGGGAGGAATAGGGAGAAAGCGCGCGTGATTGGAGTCCTGAAACGGGGGTTTCGTGAGTGATAGGACGGTGCGGTTGAGTTGATGCAATCGTTGATAAAGTGGTGCCATTGCATTGCATCATCGTCGTCAGTCATAATCAATCTACTGCTAGATGAAAACCACGATTCACCTTTCCATGATGCAAACAATCCTCCGAGCAGATGAGTTAATCGCTCCATCTCCTCGGACGACGTGCTCTCGGACACGTCACTGTTCTTCACTATGGACCATAATCCGTTTGAGCAACGTGTCCTGCCCAATAGCCCTCTTGTGTTTCTTAACGTGCAAATGTTCTCTAGGCAATTTGTTCCACTTTCTGTCTCTCAATGTAATTGATCATCACGAGACTACGATCGATCCACTGAAATATAAAACCAGTGTCTATTGATTGTCACTCATTGAAGACTAATTTCTTTAGAAATGTTTTTTTGTGTTTACGCTTGGTGTCCTTCGCACGCACCTCCGATTAGCACGGTTGGCTACGTAGGGTGCGAAAGAAGTTCAACATACATGCGTCACTGTCTATTAGAGTATTTGAGCAACAATCTGCTGTAACAACCTTCCCCAAATGTAAGTTTGTTTTGGGTGGGCGTGACCTGACCTGGAGAGTGGGCAAACACGTTTAACGGTGAGTGCCAAGAGCTCGGCGGTCACCGCCTCACTGCCATCTGCGAATCGCAAAGCAATGGGAATTGAGCGAATAGCAGAGAGTGGGTGGGCGTGTGCGTGCTTGGATTAAGGCGGAGACAGGGAGAGTGGGGATTGCACGCCATTCATCGTTAATCCACCGATTGCGGTGAACATAAAACTGCGTATTCTGATAGTAATGAGTAACCCTCTAACCTGTCACGATGCACCCCGATCCATAACAAATTAACACATTACCACGATTCCATCGATTATTAACCCCTATAAATGTTACTGTCTCGGTCGCATGTTTTGCCTTATCCCCGTTTCATTAGTGCAGTTGCGTTTACCCCATTAGCAACAATGCATAATAGTCGATGGACTTTTACATAAGTTAATTATTTCACAACTCTGCGCTAACTAAACAAATAGGTTGAGCTGATGGATATTGCCCGACACGTTATATTGTGTGCTAATCACGAGAGCGTTATATTTGTTGTAATGTGTTTGTAGTAAACGTTAAGGCCCAACCTTTCAGCCGTCCGACCTAAACTTTCCCCTTGATAGAGACAACTTCAATGTTTGCACTCTCTAACCGCCTATTATAATTAATCGCAGGTAAGTCTGGCATAGATTGATGACGTTCCGTTTGTATTATTATATCGATAGAAAAATACGACCAATTACATTGAAGTTGAATTATCATAATTCTACTCAACATTATACAGCCGTACAGCAATTGTTACGAGCATCAATGTCTACTGGCGATGATGAATGCAGTATATACAGTATATCCCCCATAGGTCTACATGCGCCTAGATTTCAGGATGCATTTCAGTTCTGAGTCGATACCAATCCGGATCCTTACACCGCAAGCAAGAATCCTCGAATAACAGCTCCAGAAAAACAGCTATAGAATAGAAGCAAGAACGATTCGCTCTCTTGCACTATGAATACCGAAAGCAGAGTTCAATTCCCGGACACGGCTAATAACACGTGCGGCGAGGGAGATCTAAACCGGTTGAGGCCCCCCCCCCCCCTGCTTTCACCAACCCACGTCGATCAGCGTGGCGAAGTATGGTCAAACAACCAAACCCATGGCCGACACGGGCAGGATTTTTTTGTTTTACCCGAAAGTGGCTTGACCATGGCTGAGAGTGACTTCGTGTATGTTGAATGACATTCACGGGGCAGTTTGACGACCGCCACCGTCTCACATTGCACGGTGCACACGTGCACGCTGTTCCGTGACATATGAGCGTTCGGCGGTGCAAGTCCCATCAAGTTACCCGCGGTGGAGTTGCTGCTCCGACCGGCTCACGCGTCACGGCGTGCATGACACGGGGTTGCATTGGTCACGCGCAAAATTGCCCCGTGGAGAATGCGCGCACGGGCATCGCGTGCGGCGTAGAGCCGCGTGCGTTGAACACCGAGAACCCTGGACGCGAGACGTCGACTCGTGAGTTAAACGTTGCGTTATTTTGTGTTCGCGTTTGATGATTTAAACAAAAATATATATTAATGCGAGCACGTGACAGACAAAGATCCCCCGTGCAGGCCACACAGACTGTTCGGGTTAAAGTGATGTTATCCGGACGGCGCGCGACCGCCTTTGTCTTCCCGGTGTTCGGTGTTTTACACATCGCCCAAAAGGACTCGCTTAAGAATTGTTGAGTCGACTACGAAGAGGCCCAGGATCGGTTCGGATTTTAGCCGCTGATGTTGGCCGTGAATGGGAATGGAACTAAGGTAGCCGAGTTTGTAGCAAAGTGCACTGACCGCTAACAGGACCGCTCTCTTCCAGTTACATACGTACAAAGACAAAGATCCCCCGTATAGCATTAACAGATTGTTGGGGCAAGTGCTGTTCGCAAGGACCTATGAAGGCCGGAACGGTACGCGAGGGGGTGGGTGGCCAGCACCACGCCCGACCGCCTTTGTCTCCCCAAGTGGCGATGTTTACGCACCGCACTAGGTACTCATATGAGGCTGAGTCAACCTAGGGGAGACCCATGACCGGTTCAGATAATCGTCACTGGTGATGGCCGTGAGCGGGAACCGAGCCCGGGTCGCCAGGTTCGTAGCGCAGCGTGCAAATCGCTACGCCACCGTTCCCACTTACATACATACGCATACATACATATATAACTATGTAATGAACAGGTATAAACTTTTAAAAGTTATCTAACAAATGTGTGACGTGCTGATGAGTGAAAAAAAGCACGAAACGAGAATTACAGTTGCGTGTGACGCATCTGTCAGTTTTGACTTTGAAGGCCTGAGAGTATTTTGTTGAACATTTTATCACAGCGAATATTTTGTTAATGTTTGTGTGTATAGATATATACTCATGTATTAAACCATCAAACATTCACCAAGCGGTCATTGAACGTGTCGCTTGCCACATTAAATGTAAAGTCACTCATTAACGTAGAGTTAGTACGTTTAAATAATTTTAAAACGAATCAACATCTTTCTCCAATGTGACCTAATTATAAATAATATCTCGCATGTTCTTAACATGCCAAATGCGCTGAGCATATTGACCCATAATGTAAGTCAGAGGCCCATATCCATTTGGACTGTACAAACTTCCCTCCCTTTATGCGGTAGTAGATGCGTTTCGAGAAAAGGCGCACAAAGCAAAATCGCGTAGATTAACACAAAATATACACCGCACGAAACAGCTGCCTGCCAAGGAGCGCATACAGTCCACATACACACATTGTTGCCCCAAGTTCGACAGCATAGCCGCATATGAGTTAATTAAAACCGCATATAACGAATTTCGGGGGAAAAAAGGTTAGCCGCATATACGCGATATCGCACAAACCGAACCGGCACGAAGCGAGGGAAACCTGCAGTATATACAGTATAGACAAACGCTCACAATACGAAGTGCATATATTTACACATTTATATTGAATCGGGAGCGAGTATCTAAAAACTTCAAACGGCACGCTGACGTTAATTTATTAAAATCACCGTCAAATAGGACACAAGCGCACGCGCGTGCTCAGCACGATAGGGTGCCGTCGAAACGTCGCCGCGTCTCGTATTTACGAATACCCACGTTGTGCATTGCGATTGGCACGTGAAACCAGCCTGGCGTTGCTTCGCAATATTTACCATTAACACGGCACATTGTGTCCATGATTAAGTGAAAATCCAAGCGCGCTGCACATGCTGACAACAGGATCAAGTCTGAGCCAGACAACACGAATCGTAAGCAAACAGCGGTCGAGACTAACGCCGGAGTGGCAGCCAAAGGGAGGGGACGCGCTCGAGTCTGCCGCGGAGATGGAGCAAATCAAATCAGCTCGCGTGCACGTGCGATCTGAATTGCCACGAACATCGCATGGCCGAGAGAGACGGCGACGACTTGGGACGGCCTTTCATCCAGCAGTGGATTGATTGATCGTGGTTAATGATGCTGACGATGATGGTAGTGGTGGTATGTCGGGGCTGCAATCGTGCCAAAACAAGATGAGGCTCGCAGAGAAAAAGACCCCTCGAGTATGATACGTCGTCTAATTAGTCCTGCAAAGATGTCAGTTGCTTTTATCGCTGATAAGCCCACGAGCTGGGCTCAAGCGTCTCGTTCCCCTACCCGTGCACATGCAGTCCCTCTGTACGTGTGCACATACAGTATACATTCTATACAAAGATGCCCCGTATAGCCGGAACAAGACCGTTGGGGCACGTGCTGTTAGCGAGCACCTATGAAGGCCGACGCGGTACACGAGGGGGTGGGGTGGACAGCACCACGCCCGACCGCCTTTGTCTCCCTCGTGAGTCGACCGAGGGCGAGGCCCAGGACCGGTTCATATAATCGTCACTGGTGTTGGCCGTGAGCGGTAATCGATGTGCCTCCGCTCACCAAACATTCTATACAGTCTCCCGCCTACACGCGCGCGCGTACAATCTCTCTCGTGCATAAATGAGCAACGTGAGATTTTCTGTTAAAGATAGTTTAGTCAAATATTATGTTCAGCGAATTGTCTAATTCACAGCCGGCAAGAAGCCAACGATCCCCAACATCGTGATGGTCACGTGGGGCGTTGTTTGACTATACTTCACCACGCTGGTCACTGCGTGCTGGTGGGGTGGGTGGGGTGGGGGACACAGGACCAGTTCGGAATGTTGTGATGTTTGTCGTGGTTGAGAATCAAATGTTCGCAGCAGAGTGCGCTCACCACTGCGCCACCGCTCCTATGCAAGACGCATCGAAGGAAAATCTCAACATGGCTTCCCAATGCTTAGGGCAC